TTTTTTTTTTTTTACAAAATTACAAATATTTTCATAAATTAAAATTAAACAATAATTTCAATTACAAATTCACTTCTATTGATTTATTACTGAGATCTAATACTATTTTTCTGAAGAAATTACTAATAATAACATACATTTTCTAATCGTTCGTGTAGACACTTTAAATGCAATATGTGGTCACTTACGGCACTTGTAAAAATTAAGAGCCCATTTGGTAGAAATTAAAATCAGATTAAAATTGAAAAATTAGTCGTTATTGTTGACTTTTATTAGACGAGTGGGACCTAATAACGACTATATTTTTAATTTTAATTAGATTTTAATTCGGTACCAAACGGGTTTTAAATTGTAATGTAGTTTTCTAAAAGAAAAGAAAAAAAAAGATAGAAGTAGTGCAGTGCCGGCGGGAAAGACGAGACCATGCTACAACTCTGACAGTCACTCAGTCAACTACTTTTTCCTTGAGTATCGAGCCCCGTGACGCCGAATACTATTCACATTCAAAACGACGCTCCATTCGAGTACTTTATGAAGTTTTATATGATTCAAAAATAGATATTTTTAAAATGCGTAACTTAAAAAAAATGTCCACTTTTATACTATCATTTACAAAAATGTCTAAAATTTCTTCAATATTCATTTTACTATATTATATATCAAAATGCCCTCATTAACAATTTTAAATTCGACAACAAATACAAAATTATTTATATAATTAAAAATTGTATTAACCAATAATAACTTGGCACATAACGTATATTACTTATTTTAAAAAATACAACGTCAATCATACATTAAAGGCTCACTTCTTCGTATAAGTGGGTAAATAAAACATTTATGAAATGTCGAGAAGTATAATTAAAATGCCAAAAATATTATGAAATGTAGAAAACTTTCATGTTTAGCCCATGTTTGGTGCACATTTTGGGGTCTAATGCATTTTTTTTGTTGATATGATGAGGAATATGTAGTTGAAAAAGAAGGAAAAGTTATTGATGTGATGAAAAATAATATTTTATTGAATAATGTGTTATTGAAAATGAGTAAAAAAATGAGAATAGAAAAATAATTTGGCTCAAAAATGGGCATAGAACGAAAGGTTTTTCTAAACACTAGTAAGACGCACGTGCCACAGTATAGTTGGCTATATGACAGCGTAAATATAAAAAAAATATTTGTCTTAAGCATTAGTTACATTAAACTTAAAACACTTGAAATGATGATATGTGACAAAAATAATATTAAGATAGTTGATTCAAAACTTATTTTCTAAACTTTGCGTTTGAATG